GCGATATAGTGGCAGTATAGTAGCAGGTTAGGGCAGTGTAGTAGCAGGTTAGGGCAGTGTAGTGGCAGTATAGTGGCAGGTTAGGGCAGCATAGTGGCAGTATAGTGGCAGGTTAGGGCGGTATAGTGGGAGGTTAGGGCGGTATAGTGTCAGTGTAGTAGCAGGTTAGGGCAGTGTAGTGGCAGTATAGTGGCAGGTTAGGGCAGTATAGTGGCAGGTTAGGGCGGTATAGTGGCAGGTTAGGGCGGTATAGTGGCAGTATAGTGGCAGGTTAGGGCGGTATAGTGGCAGTATAGTGGCAGGTTAGGGCGGTATAGTGGCAGTATAGTGGAAGGTTAGGGCGGTATAGTGTCAGTGTAGTAGCAGGTTAGGGCAGTGTAGTGGCAGTATAGTGGCAGGTTAGGGCAGTATAGTGGCAGTATAGTGGCAGGTTAGGGCGGTATAGTGGCAGGTTAAGGCGGTATAGTGGCAGTATAGTGGCAGGTTAGGGCGGTATAGTGGCAGTATAGTGGCAGGTTAGGGCGGTATAGTGACAGTATAGTAGCAGGTTAGGGCAGTGTAGTGGCAGGTTAGGGCAGTGTAGTGGCAGTATAGTGGCAGGTTAGGGCAGTATAGTGGCAGGTTAGGGCGGTAATAGTGGCAGTATAGTGGCAGGTTAGGGCGGTATAGTGGCAGTGTAGTAGCAGGTTAGGGCAGTGTAGTAGCAGGTTAGGGCAGTGTAGTAGCAGGTTAGGGCAGTGTAGTGGCAGTATAGTGGCAGGTTAGGGCGGTATAGTGGCAGTATAGTAGCAGGTTAGGGCAGTGTAGTGGCAGTATAGTGGCAGGTTAGGGCAGTGTAGTGGCAGTATAGTGGCAGGTTAGGGCGGTATAGTGGCAGTATAGTAGCAGGTTAGGGCAGTGTAGTAGCAGGTTAGGGCAGTGTAGTGGCAGTATAGTGGCAGGTTAGGGCGGTATAGTGGCAGTATAGTAGCAGGTTAGGGCAGTGTAGTAGCAGGTTAGGGCGGTATAGTGGCAGTATAGTGGCAGGTTTAGGGCGGTATAGTGGCAGTATACTTCTCCAGAAATACTGACATAATCATACCGCCAGGGAGGCTACTAAACACACACTTACCAGGGTCCAGCAATGCACTCACCCACGCTATCTAATTTCTCGTTCTCTTCCTGGCACTGTCATCTCAACTGTGGGCACCAGGCTGTGACAGCTTGCAGCTTCACAGCCGGGTGTCCACTGCGCATGCGTGAGTCAGCTTAGCATTCTGATTGGTCCAGCAATCTTCATGGACCTCTGTAGGTTCTCCGGAGACTTCAGGAGGAAGGAGGGGGACGGAACTTCCGGCTCACTTCACCGTGGCAAACTGAGCCAAAGTAGGAGTAGGTACCTGTCAAAACCAGGTACCACTGCCCCCAAAATGTGCCAAATATGGCAGTGGAGGGGGGGGGAGGAGGCAAACAAACGAAGCTTCCACTTTTGGGTGGAACTCCACTTTAAGATTCACTGGGCTGTGCTCACTCCTCCCTTTTTCCTTTCTTCAACTTCAGAATCAGCTAGAGTGAAGGGGTCTGTGGGAAAAGTAGAGGAGGCAGCCACACCCCAGCCCCACCTACCAACTTCCCACTGCCTCTGGAAATATTGAAGATCTCCAAGGAACAATTTAAGTTAATTAGACAACAGGGGAGTGGTACTGGCAGCCTCACCCACCCCCTTGCTGACCCAATCATCGATTTAGCCAGGCAATACATTTATGTTTACAAATCTGCAAGGAGATGGAAAGTGCAGCTGTCTGTAGTATTGTTCCATGGGCAGGCAGACTGTTCGGGGTGGAGGGGGGAAGTGGTCTTTGGGGGGGGCCCAACTAAAACCTAGGGGGGGCATAGCCCGCCCCAGCACCCCCCTAGATCCGGCCATGAAGAGACATTCAATGTACCGCATAATTTTTTTGAACATCTAGAGTGCCATGTAGCAATGGTGTCAGTCAGTTTGGTTCCCCTCACAATGCCTGGTTGAGATGGTGGGGACAAGATGGCACATCCCTGTTACTGGTTCCATATATGGGACCAGCATCTAATTGGTGTTTTTTTTTACCTTAGGTGGATTTGTAGCTATTGTTCCATCTTTTTCCTCCTTTTATATATCTATATCTATATATATATATCTATAGATATAGATATATATTGTTTTATAACAACCTGGTTCATTTGTAGACATTCATAAGTTCTTACATCTCCTGAGGAAGTAGGCGTTGTCTCATGAAACGCTTCGAGATGCTTGCAAGAGCTCTTTTATTAATAATTTTTCAAGATGGGGAATACATTTACATGACATATGTATGGTATATCTTCATTTTATGTATTTGTATGAAGGTTTTATATTTTGTCAGAGCTTTTTTAATAAGTTTATTTGCAATAAAATATAAAGATTTTTATTAACTCCTGATGTGTCGCAAAATCCTTTGGGCATTTTTGGAGTTTTGTATTGTTTCATTTTTATGGGACTGAGTCACATCATACACACATTAGTCCTCTATTTTGAGTATTATCAGTCATTCTCACCTCTGCGAAGCCTTGTATTTAATTAATCCGCAGTCTCTTACTCTCTCCCATATCCTCTCTGCAGTCTCTGACCAGGTCCCGTGTCCTGTCTGCTGCAGGCTCTGACCATCTCCTGTATTCTATCTGCAGTCTCTGACCATCTTCTGTACTAAGTCTGCAGTCTCTGTATCCTGTATCTTGTCTGCAGTCTCTGACCTTATCCTGTATCCTGTCTGTAGTCTCTGACCAGGTCCCGTGTCCTGTCTGCAGGCTCTGACCATCTCCTGTATTATATCTGCAGTCTCTGACCATCACCTGTAGTATATCTGCAGTCTCTGACCATCACCTGTAGTATATCTGCAGTCTCTGACCATCACCTGTAGTATATCTGCAGTCTCTGACCATCTCCTGTATCCTGTCTGTAATCTCCATGACCTGTCTGCAATCTCCATCTCCTGTATCCTGTCTGCAATCTCTGACCATCTCCTGTAGTATGTTTGCAGTTTCTGACCATCTCCTGTACTATGTCTGCAGTCTCTGACCAACTCCTGAGGTGAAGCTCTAATAGGAAGAGGTGGAGCCTAAAGAAGAAAGGGAGGGACAAATTTAGATGGGGGAGGCACCCAATTTTAGTCTTGGCTAGGACAGGACAAAACCAAAATACACCAATGGTCCTTGCCCTCAAGAGCTTACAATCTAAGGTCTCCATCTCACATGCATACACATACTAGGGCAAATTTAGACAAGAGCCGATTAACATACTAGCATGTCTTTAGAGTATAAGAGGAAACCCACACAAAACACATGGAGAACATGCAAACTCCATACAGATAGGTAGTTCTATATATATATATATATATACCTGTATGCACACATGAAAAAATCAGTAAGTAGACTGTTGGTAACTTATCATTATTGGGGAATTATGTGCAATGAAATGATTTTGGCATGTAAATTCACTTCTCACAGATATGTCCTCCTAATTAAACTAAGTGTAAATATAATCCTACCTAATTAAATAAGACATCTAATATATAAATGGCAATTCCCAATTCTTTGTTGTCTTTTTAAAATAAAACAATATACCATAATCAAAATAACATTAAATGTCCTATTTTAATTTAAAGTATTTCAACCATGTATAAATAAAATGTCAAACCAATCTGCAACCCAGCGTAACACATTACATAAAATTATAAATGATCAATAGAATTACAATACACAATCAGTTGGCAGGCATGCCACCACAATTCTTAAAATAGAACTTGGTACATGAAAAAGTAGACTTGTCTTAAAAGATGTAATGTGAAACATAGCGCAATTAGTGCATACAGAAGAAAGCAGGAAATCTGGCAACCTATCTGCTTTTTTTAGGCAATTTACCTTAATTGCATCATTGCAAACATAATTATTGCATCTGGATTTTCCAATGTAAACAGTGGCTCCAGACGCAAGGAGAAAGAATGATAGATGACACTTTCTGAGGAGGCTACTTTATTAAATGATTGCATTCAAAAGATTTTCATGCTTAAAACATAGATCATCCTGAATTATTTTTAGCTTTCATTTTTGGGTTTCAGGCTCTCCAAACTGCTCACCAATTAGTTATGGGTGCAACTGTAATTAACAAGCTTTGTCTGAGGATACAATGGATTTAAAACTCTGAGACCTCATTTCAGCTTTTATATATTTCCTTTTTTATTTAAAGGAACTCATTGACTTTTCAGGTTTTTTTTTTAGAAAAATTCATAAGAGAACAGCTTGAAGTAAATAATACCAATATACAGTATGTTAATGTTTAAGGCTTGGTTCACATATATATATTTTTCATTTGATGTTTTCTCCAGTGCATTTTGCAGTTTGTTTTGTGTGTTTTTACACGCATTTTTTTTTTTCTCCTGTCCTTGCTGGCAGGAGAGAGACCTGTGTTGTTTACACACAGGTCTATCTCCTGTCAGTTCTGCGTGGCGGCAGGGAATTTCCAGCCAGGTCCCGGTGATTGACATCCCTAACCGCCAATGGCAGCGTGGGTAGGGCGGTGCGCACATGTCCCCTACCTGGGAATACAAATCACGTATATATAAGTGATTTTACGCAGCCCTGCTGACCTGTAGCAGTAGTTCTACTATAGGGTGGCGGGCAAGCGGTTAAAGTCCAATTGAAGTTTCAGTTTCAATCAGGCAAATACATGACAAGTGCACAATAGATAGGCTAATCAAGACCCACTACACCACCATTTCACTCTTCACATACCACCCCTTATAAACCAACATTAAAGGAAAACATAACACCGAATGGAGTAATATGGCCAACACAGCCTTTTATTAACACTTCAACTTCAATACACAAACACATTCCTTAAAACAGAAACACATACTGTATTTTTCGCTCCATAAGACGCACCTCACCATAAGACGCACCTAGGTTTTAGAGGCAGAAAACAGGAAAAAAAATATTCTAAACCAATGGACTGCAGACATAGTACAGGAGATGACCAGAGACTGCAGACATAGTACAGGAGATGACCAGAGACTGCGGACATAGTACAGGAGATGACCAGAGACTGCGGACACAGTACAGGAGATGACCAGAGACTGCAGACATAGTACAGGAGATGACCAGAGACTGCAGACACAGTACAAGAGATGGCCAGAGACTGTGGACAGCACAGGAGATGACCAGAGACTGCGGACACAGTACAGGAGATGACCAGAGACTGCAGACATAGTACAGTAGTATGGGGACTGACCCAGAGACTGCAGACATATGTACAAGAGATGGCCAGAGACTGCGGTCAGTACAGGGATGCGGTCACCAGAGACTGCGGACAGTACAGGATGACCAGAGACTGCGGACAGTACAGGAGATGACTGCTGACCTTTGGGGAGGGGGGGAGCGGGTACCTGAATTTGACAGGTACCAGCTCTTACTTCCGCGGAGTTGTTCTTTGGTTAGTGTCCGCTCTGCAGCGGGACCTTACCTGTTCCTCTATCCAAGCGGCGCGCTGTCTTCCCGGCTTCTGTAGTGTGGGCGCTCTGATTGACAGCCGGTGTGCCCAGTGCACATGAGCGAGAAGCGCTGTGCTTTGTGATTGGTCTGGCGGCTTCTGGGATCCTGTCATGTGTCCCAGGTGCTGCCTTACCATGCACAAAGCGCACCGCTTCCCGTGCATGTGCACTGGGCACCTGGCTGTCAATCCGAGCGCCCCACACTACAGAAGCCGGGAAGACAGCGCGGCGCTGCATAGAGGAACAGGGAAGGTCCCGCTGCAGGGCTGAGTGGCCGGCCCTGTATTCTGACACTGCGGCGGTGGAAATACCGGACCAGCCACTCCATATTCGCTCCATAAGACGCACTGACATTTTCCCCCCTTTTTTGGGGGAAAAAAGTGCGTCTTATGGAGCGCAAAATACGGTAATCAAAGTTGTTGGTCTTCGAAGGCACCAAAACAGAACCGATATCCCCCTGCAGAACCCATATTACACTAGGCCTCCAGCCGCAACGCACCGGCTTGGAGACAAACATACCATCCGCAGTGCAGAACCACCACCTTCTAGTTAAACCTCGGTTAACTGGAATGCCCCCTGGCACACCATACCACCGATGGGTCTCAAACCATTATCATTTACACATTTTTGATGCGTTTTGTTAAGCTCTTTTTTTTTGTTAAGGTGGAATTTTTTTTGTTGCTGGGCAAAATAAAAATGCAAAACGTGGCAAAAACGCCGCAAAGATGCACTACTATGCATTTCAGAAGCTTCGCCATTGAACTCTATTGTAACAAAAATGCTGTTTTTTTTTGCTTTTAAAAAAAGTCCCTGACCCTTTCCAAAAATGCAGTAGCTCAAAAAAGCATAGATGTGAACAAGTTCAATAGGAAACCAAGTTAAGTGGACTGTAGTGCATTTCTACAAAAAGCACTAAAAAATGCACTGTTGTGAACAGAGCCTTAGAAATCTATATATAAATAAGACACAGGGACAATCATATTTGCCAATTACATACTTATTATTATTATAATACAGGATTTATATAGTGCCAATGGTTTGCTCAGCGCTTTACATGATAGTGGGAGACAATACAGTAACAATACAGTTCAATACAAGAGGGATTTGAGGGCCCTGCTCCTTGGAGCTTACAATCTAAGCTTTGCTTCCTGATATGCAGTGATACACAGTGGTTGTGCTTTACTGTTCCCACAATGCAAATCTGCATGCCAGCCGACTCATTAAAAATTAATGCACTGCCCAAGCAGCTGATTTGCAATAAGCCACTGAAAGCTCCTAGTGTTAATCTAAATATTTTGTGTTTAACGACTTGCCCTCCAGAAGATTTACCCCCCTTCCTGGCCAGGCCATTTTTTGTGTTACGGCACTGCGTTACTTTCATTGACAATTGCTCGGTCATGCAAATCTGTACATAAATGAAATTTATACATCTATAAAAAAAAAAGATTGACAACTTTGTTAAAAAAATAATATTTTTGACTTTTTGCTATAAAACATAGCCAATAAAAAAATTAAAAAAATCTAATTTTGTCGTAAATTTAGGACAAAAATGTACTCTGCTACATGTTTTTGCTTAAAAAAAATCCCAATACATGTAAATTAAGTGGTTCACGTGAAAGTTATAGTGTCTACAAATGGCGTTATATATATGGGAATTTTTTTTTTTTTTTTTTAATACTAGTAATGGCAGCGATCAGCAATTTATAGCAGGACTGTGCCGTGCATTCTGACACTGGGGGGGGGGGGACTGACTAACTGCCACTGACATCCCCAATGACACTAATACAGTGATCCGTGCTAACAAAAAGCACTGACACTGTACTAATGACACTGGGCAGGAAGGGGTTAACATCTGGGGCGATCAAAGGGTTAACTGTGTGCTGTGTGTGTTTTACATTGTGTGATGTGTGCTGTTTTACTTAGGAGACATGCTGCTTTCTATCTCTGTTGTGCAGAGAAATACAAAGCAGCATGTCCTTGTTGTTTACACACAGGTCTATCTCCTGTCAGTTCTGCGTGGTGACAGGGAATTTCAGCCAGGTCCCAGTGGTTGACATCATTAGCCGCCAATGGCAGCATGGGTAGGGCGGTGCGCGCACGTCCCCTACCTGGAAATACAAATCACGTATATATAAGTGATTTTACGCAGCCTGTAGTTCTACTATAGGGTGGCGGGCAAGCGGTTAAAGTCCAATTGAAGTTTCAGTTTCAATCAGGCAAATACATGACAAGTGCACAAGAGATAGGCTAATCAAGACCCACTACACCACCATTTCACTCTTCACATACCACCCCTTATAAACTAACATTAAAGGAAAACATAACACTGATTGGAGTAAAATGGCCAACACAGCCTTTTATTAACACTTCAACTTCAATACACAAAAACATTCCTTAAAACAGAAACACATAATCAAAGTTGTTGGTCTTCGAAGGCACCAAAACAGAACCAATATCCACCTGCGGAACCCATATTACACTAGGCCTCCTCCAGCAGCAACGCACCGGCTCGGAGACAAAAATACCATCCGCAGTGCAGAACCACCACCTTCCAGTTAAACCTCGCACTGGAATGCCCCCGGGCACACCATACCACCGATGGGTCCCAAACCATTATCTTTTAACTTCAAAATAAGTGCCGCCTCCAAAGACCAACAACTGCCCACAAACCTGAATAAAACCCCCAGGGGAGTGACAAAAATACCCACACGAAACAAGGGCGGACGGGAGGGAAGCTCTCTCTCTCTGTCTTCTCCAACCACACTGCTTGAAGACCCTCCCCATCCACACCCCAAGGTGTAGAAGACCCCACCTTCCACCACTGAGCTACCAGTCAGGTAAAATCCTTTACACTTAACCCACCTCGTACTTTCTTTAACCCTTTCCTGTCTTTTTTTAACCACTCATGGCCTAGTCATGTCTTCCCTGCGCTATTTTCTTTTTCTCTCTTTTTGCTACGGGCATTTCTTTCTAGTTGCATGAAAAGGTGCGCAAAGTCTTTCAATTTGTTTTCTTTAGAAAGCAGCCATAGCTTAAGTAGCATAGCTTGTCCTCTGTGAGCAACCTCCGCCTCTTTGTGTGGAAGCCATGGTCTCTCTGAAGAAGTCTAATACTCTCCTTCCTTTATCAGACCAATAGCTCCACCATTAGCAAAAAAAAATACTCCCTGTGGCTTGGAGAGCTTTAGCTCTCACTCAGCATAGCACATGTCAGACCTCTGCAGAGAGACCACTGCTTTCACTCCAAGAGCAAGGGTCTTTTTCTACAACATACAGATGGGGACAGCCTTTTCTACCCAGATGTCACTGTTTTCTAAAGAAAACAACATTTGGAGGCTTTGCACACCTTTTGTTTTGATGCACATGGAATGTATTTATTATTTATCTATTGTGTGTGACTCATGGTAACTGTGTGAGTCTGTAATTATGTCGGGTTACTGCAGGTCAAGCTGGATGGCTGAACAGGTTGGGAGTCTATTGCCTCTGTCTGGTTCTGGAGGACCATGGGAACCTTCCAGAAGCCAGTAGAGGTGGAGACCTAATCTGCATGTTTATGGGAGTCTAACCACTCCCAGGTTTGGAGGCCCTGGTAAAGTGGTGGACCAGCCCATAAATATGGGATAGTCAGAATGGCTGGGGAGACGGGTGGAAGATGGAGTGCTGAGGAGACTGACGGTGGCCTGGGAGGGGTTCCATAGGTCTAGGGGGGGGGGGGGATCCATTCAGCAGTACAACATGAACAGGATCAAGGACTGTGATCAGGATCAGGATCAAGGCCTGTGAGCTGTGGGAGCAAGGAGGACAAAATGAGTACATCAACACACCAGGGATTCACAAGGGGAAAAACTTCCACATGTAGCAAGCTTTCAAAGGACAGCACTGTTCTTAATCTTTCATCCTTGTCCTGGGAGATCTTCAGAGCAGTCAGGAGGGTTGGTAGTGTCTGCATGCTGTGGAGCTGGAACAGTTCTACAGGGAGAGGAGACATCTCTGCATGTAGATTACAAGTCAAGCTGATTCTCAGAGGGGGGGCTGTGAGTCCCTTGCCTCTAAAGGGCTGTTGCTACTTATTTGCTCAGACTGATGGCTTTCAAGGAAAAGAACAGTCCAGGATCTGTTTCTGTAAACAGGAAGGAAGTTGTCCTCGTGCTTTGATGGTGTTAACTGTTTTCAGGGAAATCCCCGGCTCGAGCTTGGCGCTCAGCAAGTTTTCCCTGAATGCTTCACTGATTTAGTACATGTGCAGTAGTTGCAGGGATTCCGATCTTCATGTGATACCTATCTTACTGCTACAGGCGGCCCCTGCCTGGGACACACATCGCCCCCACATTATTTCCACACGCCAAATGCGAGCAGGCGAGTGGAAATTTTGAGGCCTGCTCTAAGTGTTAGTTTCTCATCATTGCTCAAATTTTTGTTTTTAAACAGATTTTAAAATAATTTTTTTTAATCATTACATGACAAAGGATTCCCAGAGCACTATGGATTTTTTTTTTTTTTAAAAGGAAACTCCTTTCAAGTATGCTGTCTCTTATTGAAGCCTGTTGGCACCCTGTGATAATATAAAATATTTATTTAAAAAAATAAATCTTTTTTTATTAACCTGAGTTTAAAAAAATTTAGACTTTTATTTTGTTAGTCCAAGATAACATAATAAAGAAAATATACATATATTATGTATTATTGCTATATATTTCCTTTAAAGAAAATTGTCACAGTCAAAAGACACAGTCATTATCCATAATGTTCGTGGCATGTGGATTTCAAAGGACTATCATTTCTCCTCTTAAGAAAGAGCCACATTCAGCTGTATCTGCTGAAATGGGAGACTCCAATGTAAACAGATTCCA